AGAGCCCTGGGTTTCTTTTTTGGGGGGTAGTTAACATCCATGTAGTTTTTGAACAAAGAAGAGTTGGTTCGCTCCCACCCACCTCACAAGCTACCCCCCCCATCAGCAAATGTTGTGAGTTTCAAACAAACAAAACAAGCAAACAAGAATATTCCCTTTCATCTTGGTAATTATCTTCCCATTAGAAATCAATCAAGGACGCTCATTACCATTAGCAAGATGGCTTGTAAAATTCCCCCACGCCAGTCACGCTAATGAACGGTGAAAGCAAACATCACTTTTCCCGGGACATAAATTGGGGGAACGCAAATCCAAAACTGCAGCAGTTTAATGGTGCCAGACATTATTCACATCCAAAGAAAACATATTAAATGCTCGTAAAAGGCAATAACTGGGTGGGTTTGAAAAGAAAAGAAAAGTGTAAGGATAGCTGAATCCTTGTGCAATAAATGTTACTTGGAAAGACACAACTGGCCACATCTGCACTATAAATTTAAAGCACTCTGATATCCCTTAAACAGTTCCCCCAAAATCATACTGGGAGCTGTGGCTTGTTAAGGGTGCTGAGAGCTGTTAGGGGACCCCTGCTCTCCTTATAGAGCAACAACACTCAGAGTTCCCTGAGAAGAGGGATTACTTGCTAAGCCACTCTGGAAATTGTAGCTCTTTGAGGAGAAAAGGGGTCTCCTACCAGGTACCATATTTTTCGCTCTATAAGACACACCAGACCACAAGATGCACCTAGTTTTTGGAGGAGGAAAACAAGAAAAAAAATATTCTGAATCTCAGAAACCAGAACAGCAAGAGGGATTGGTGCGCAGTGAAAGCAGCAATCTCTCTTGCTCGTTCTGGCTTCTGGGATAGCTGCGCAGCCTGCATTTGCTCCATAAGACGCACACACATTTCCCCTTACTTTTTAGGAGGGAAAAAGTGAGTCTCATAGAGCAAAAAATACGGTAGTTGGGTTGGAATCATAGTGCTTAGAGATTTTCTTTTGCTGTTTTTAAATTGCTGCGGCTCGGACTCATTGATGTACCCTGAGGAAGCATGTGCTCGTGCAAATTAGGGCTGTCACCCAACAAAAGAAATTAGTTTCAGCAGATTGATCAACTGAGTTTGATCCTCGGGGGGACGGACTAGATGAACTTGGAGGTTACTTCTAACTATATGAGCCTATGAAAATTATAGACAGTCAGAGAGGTAGAAAGAGACACAACAGCTTAACAACAGGAGTGAGAAACCTGTAGCTCTCAAAAAGTATCTGCACCCCATCTCCCATCAGTCCTAGCCTTTTTAATTTTTTTTATTATACTGTAGTTGTATTTTTCTTTATTGAAAATATTTCAAAGCTACTCTTTTTTGGCCCACCCAAAGCTGCTTACAGTTAAAAACAATAATTTACAAATAATAATAAGAATGGTTATATACTGTATATATAGAAAAATTACTGGTAAGGTAAAGGTATAGGTAAAAGACCCCTGGAGGTTAAGTTCAGTCAAAGGTGGCTACAACTCAGTGTCTTGTAATATCTATTGTATGTTTCCATAGCGGGGCTGCATATCCTTTCTTCTGATTGCTCAAATCCTGATTCTCTGTTCCTTTTAAAACATATGTTATGCTCACCTCTGCGGGGCTGTATCTGGGAATCTGTAATAAATGGGTAGGAGGGTTGGGGGTGTTTCAGTGCCATGTAACATATTATGAGAGGTGCAGTGTATGGATCGTATCATAAATGCCCAATAAAAAAATAATTTAATAAACCATTAACTCAGAAGTAATTCACATTCCGCCCCCCCCCCCAAGATAACCAACAGTGGTAGAAAGAATATAATTCTAAGGCCAAAGAGTGATGGAAACTGTGTGCCTGCAACATCCAACATTTAACACTGTATTGTTTTTAATACTTGATTGGGAGCCGCCCAGAGTGGCTAGGGAAACTCAGCCAGATGGGCGGGGTATAAATTATTATTATTATTATTATTATTATTATTATTATCCAGAAGTCACAGGCTTTCCCACCTCTGCTTCTCTGAGGCTGCTCTTGGTTCTTCTGGCTCAGGGGAAGCAACAGTGAGAGTCCAGGGTCTGGTACTATAGGCCCTGGTTTCCTGGGAGGTTCCTCTGGGAGTTCTTGTCCAACCATCTCAGGCTCAAAGGGTCTCCCTATCTTCAGAAGTCAGCTCTGTGCTCCCCATCCAGTGCCCCTGCAGCCTCAAACTCTGTGCCCAAATCACTGGTGGATACAGGAGTCATGGCATCCTCCCAGTTAGCAGTTCCAGTATTCTGGAGGCCACTGAGCAGGCTGGCAGGAGCAAGCCAGCAGTAAATCACACCAAGCAAGTTGGAATTAACTCTTGTAGTGCAGGATCTGCACAGGAGCATCAGGCTTAAAGAGCAAATAAACTATTCTCCAGGAGGTCTTGCCCCCATGAAGGAGTTGCTGAGACTGAAGGTCCCCACAGCTGCCTAAGTCCCCTCCTTTCCAGGGACTTAGCAATCTGAGACTGCACCTATGGGAAGCTCACTTCTCCTCCACCCTCTTCATGCTTCTCCTGGTTCTGGAATATCAGAGGGGAGAAGCGCTTGTTGCAGCAGCAGAAGGAGACCCCTGTGCCTCTTCACCAGCTGAACTCATATCTGCCTCTTGGCCTTCCTCTTCTCCTGCTTCAGCTTCTGCCTCCACTCACTAAGCTTTTTTACCTCTTCAGCTTCCAACACCTTCTCCCAGTCTTCTCCCTGTGACCGCTTATCATTGTCCCACCACCAATCCACAGGCTCTGAGTCAACTTCCCTTGGTTGTTCCCCAGCTGGTGCCTCCCACCATTCCTTTGCATCCAACCAGTCTATAACCTCACCACTCTATAGGAAGGTATGATAATTTGTGAAGCTTCAGTTGTCCTGAGCTCAATTATTGCATCAGTCCCTCTCCTCTGTTATTTCTCAATTGTCAGACCTCAGTCTGTAAGCTCTGTGGGGCAGAGAACAGCCTCCATTTCCCCTCTTGCTTGTGCTGCAAAATGCCAAACACAGAGATGGAGTCACTAAATAAATAAATAGTGTTTCTTTTGTTCCAGTCCTGCAGAAACAGCTGGGGAATCTTTACCTTATCCTCTTCTCAGTCACGCTCCTTTATAGCTCCAGTCCCTCCCCTTGCCTATACGATTCTTGCTGAGTTTGTGGATTGCTTAACCTGGTCTAATAAAACCATAATGATCCTGGGCTTGACTAATGAATTTCTGGATAGATGCCAGCAGACTCTAGCTGTGAGGAGGGATCTGGAAGGCTCATATAACCCACCAATGGAACAAGCACAGCAGATTTCGTGGCGTTGTAGGGGTGTGTGTCTGTGTGTGTGTGTGTGTGTGTGTGTGTGTGTGTGTGTGTGTTTAATAGCAATTAACACAGGGATTATTTTAAAAGAAGGATGTAAGACTTCAAAGATTGACACATTTATTGTGGCATGAGCCAAGGCTTTAAAGGAAGTAGCTTGCTTCTGATGCATGCAGAGGGCAGGGATTATACGGGTGCACATGGTTTGAGATGCACCAGAGAAAGAACCAAGCCAATGTTGAGTGCGAAATAAAATGAGAATGCAAACATACACTATTGATAGCTGAAGTGCATTTACAAAAGGGAGGCAGCATATGCAGGAGCTAGACTCATCTCCTAGGCAGCACAGACTCAGCGTAGCAGAGTTCTGGGGGCTGGGTGGCAGGGCTTTCCAAACTATTAGAGGTTTTCAGAATATGGAGCAGAAGAATCAGCTGCAGCTCAGGGCTCTTCCAGGTGGCCTGCTGCTTGGGCATTCTTCCTGAGTTATTTGCGCAAAATTTGCATGGAGGTCATATGACAGGCCTGTTTATTGACCATTCATTCTCATTTGCTCGCACTGAGGCTATATGACAACACCTTGATGCTGCTGTTATCCAGTGCACTTCCAAATCAGACTTATTAGTGCCACCACCACCAAAATGGCACAACCTAAATTTGCCAGCGTACAATTGAATTATACCCACAAATTAGCAACTGTCCAGATGCAGCCTATGAAAGGCCTTAAGAGGCAGACAACCCCCCAACCCCCCCCCCCGCCTCCAAGACCTGTTGTCCTGAATTGACCAATCAATAGCATATAACACAATACAGAAAGGGGAGGGGAATGTCACCCAGGACAGGGAAACAGTGCATGTCAGCCCTGAGTATGTAGTCTAAGCATACCCCCCCCCAAAAAAAGCATCAAAATAGGCTGGTCATTCATTGAACCAGGGGGGAAATTTCAATTAATCAAGCTCTGAAAACCATCACCCACTCCAGTCTCTAGGAGGTGCAGGGAATCTGCTACTCCAACAGTTTTTCCCTTGTATTTTTATTTACAATGTTTATATACTGCCCAATAACAAAGATTCTCAGGGTGTTTTACAAGTAAGAAGAGAGAGCCAGTGTGGTGTAGTGGTTATAGTGATGGATGAAGGCCTGGAGGACCAGGGTTCGAATCCCACACTCAACCATGGCGCTTGCTAGGTGACCTTGGGCCAGTCACTGTCTCTCAGCCTGACCAACCTCACAGGGTTGTTGTGGGGATAAAATGGGGGAGAGGGAGAGACATGCACACCACCTTGAGTTTCTTGGAGGAAAGTGGGGTGGGGGGATAGAAATGTAATAAATAACATAACACAAGCAAGAAAGCACAACATGCCTGATTGGTAACCATCTGGGTTCTGCTTTAAAACCTCTTACAAAGGAGAGGCACCTCTCCCACGCCTGCTGAGCACTTTGTTTCACTTTCTCATGCAAATGGTACATTTCTTGGAAAATTCCAAGTCCTGTTGCCTCCCACTGCACCTCTGTTTACCTGTGAGTAAGCCCTATTGAACTCAGTGGCATTCACTTGTGAGCAAATGTGTATGGGATTCCTCTGTAACTCTAACAAAGGGCTGTGCTCACTGGTACAGAGCATACTCTGCATACTCTGACATTTCCAGTAGGGCAGAGATGGGGAGTTATAGTAGCTCAGTCAGTAGAGCATGAGACTCTTAATCTCAGGGCTGTGGGTTCAAGCCCCACGTTGCACAAAAGATTACTGCATTGCATGGAGGTTGGAATAGATGACCCTCATCGTCCCTTGCAATGTTGCAGCTGGCCCTCCTGGTGTTGCTGGACCACTGGCCATGATGGCTGGGGCTGATGGGAGTTGGAGTCCAGCAATATCTGGAGCACCACAGCTTCCTAGACCTCATCCTGAAACTCTGGAGAGCCACTGCCAGTCTGTATAGGCAATTTTGAGCTGGATGGACCAGTGGTGGAGTCCATATGAAGCAGATTGCTAAATTCCATAGCCTAAGTAGTACTGGGGTTATTTCTGAAGTCCAAGCACTCTCCATGACTATCCCCATAGCCACACCCCTTCTAAGACCATACAATCAGTGCAGACATCAGTACCAAAACATTTTTTTCTCCAACCCTCATGCTCCTGTCCTTGCTTAACATCCAGTTTGATTATGAAGAACTCTGATGGATTCAGAAGTTTGTGCCTTGCTTTGTGAAATTCCCATTGGTCGTAATAAATGGACTTTGAAGTTCGAAGCTGTGAAACTCCCTCCCCAGAAAGGTGCATCTGACACCTTCATTGCTCTGCTTTTGGCAAATGCTGAAGACTCACCTGACACTGGAGACTCGTATTTTTCAGACCCACCTTATTTCTGTAATTTTAAGTTGTTTTCTACTTCCCCCTCCCAATATTGTTTCAATTGTTGTAAATGTCCCTGGGACCTTAGCGTGAAGGGCAGATAATAAATTGTAATAAATGCTGATAACAATAATTACTATTTATTTTTATTATTCAAAACAAAGTGGTAGCCTTAGCTATCCATGAGAATGCTACTTACCTCTTCCTCTGCTTATCTTACGTGGTGTGCTTGTCTCTGAGAAAAGCTTCTTTATTTGGCAAGCAGAGGATTGGGCCAATAGCACCCTGGGGAGGTGACGTTATCATCACTGCTGTGACGTAAGCGACGGCCCTATGTTCCTGCCGGTCCCTGCTCCACAAGGTAAGGTAAAATGGGGGGATGTAGATTGTAGAGACACCCAAAGATTCCACCCGACCCGCCTGACCATTCGACTCACCTTCATACCTGCAAATTCCCAAGCAACAGAACCTTCCCGCGCGCCTACACTTGGAAGCCAGTTCGATTTTACATCAGCGGGGCTTGTTCCCATCTAAACATCTTTTAAGACCTCTCTCCATCTCTCTGAAGGCTAACATGCTGCTAAGCCCGTGCGCGCTTCTTGTCAGGAAGGTGGCCATCGGGTGCAGGCGTATGAACTCCCGAGCAAACGCAGCGGGTCTTACTCTGAGTAGGCGCACGTGCCTAGGAAATGGACAGCCAGGGCCTGAAATTTTGAGAGCCTCTTACATTCGAAATACTGCGCACACCACGCGGGAGGTGGGGGATATTCTATGGCTAGCCAAACCGCGAAGGACGCTGTGCTTCTCCTAAGCAGAACGCGCGCATCAATTTCTCTGCCGACTAGTCAATTTCGTATCTCTCTCCCCAACCCCCCAATCCTCCGGGTTATGTGGGGATTTTTCGTTTTGTTTTTTAGCCTTTTACTTTTTGTTTGCTTCTGAGCCCCCTAACAGCGACTAGGTTGGTCGGTTTCACGCTCTCGCCTTTGGAGATGCGTAGAGGAGACGTCGCTCAGTCCGATCCTCGCTCATTGCTTTGCAGCAGTTTCCAGCAATAATGGCACGAGCCCCTCCTGGCTGGAACTGCCGCTCCCTCCCCGCCAGCAGCAGGGATGTCGCAGGGGCCCATGGAGCAGCCGGCAGCCCCGCTAGGCGACCCGACATTCCGAGTTTCCCCGCGTTGCTGGGGAGGCCCTATAAATAACCGCGCGTAAATTGACCAGCGGTGCGGGCGGGAAACCGACTTGGTCCTTAGTCGGAAAGGATGAGATCATAGAATTGTAGAGTTGGAAGGGATCCCGAGGGTCATCTAGTCCAACCCCCTGGTGACTTTGGTGTGTCTGCGCGCGGGGGACAGCTTCAATGAAAGGGGAAAGCGAACGAAGCGGATTGAGAGGACAGCGCGTCCGGCTCCTGCGGGGAACTATCAAACAGAGCTGAAACGGTCCCTCTGAGCACGGTGAGGCTGGGTTCCCGGTTAAATAACCATAGGATCGCCCAGTGACCATCCTAGGTAAGAAGTTAGTTTCGCTCACTTCAATGCCACAGTCTCCCAAGAAAGCGTGCATAGGAGCGCAGTGTTAGCTGTTTAGTTTGGTCCGGTTAACCTTGTGAGCAATTTTTGTTAAACAAATCTATCTTTCTGCAGACTCTTTTCCCGCAAAAACAAAACAAAACCCTGGGGCTAGAACGGTGGGCATGGAGGCCTCTTCTAAGATGGTGCCTGCCTGGTACTTTCAAGTATATCATCATCAAATATATTTTTCCCTTCCTTTTTTAAAAAAAGGATTTTTAAAATTTCTCTGCAAACACACGCTAAATGAAAAAATTCGTTTTAAACCTATCCCCAATGATCAAATAAGGGTTCTCTTCACTGTTAGGCCTTCTATTGAAATGGATGAGCGTTACTAATTCAAGGGCATTAATTTCAGTGAGTCTACTCAGAGGTTTAAAGTAGGGAGACAACAGCCCTGCAAGAGGAGCATTGAAAAGGAAACGGTTCCCGAAAATGGTCTCGTGAAAATCCCGGGGTTAAAAATAAAATAAAATAATCTCCTCCGACCTCCGCGATTCCCCACCAAGACAAAGACCACGCAGCCAGGTGTCTCCTTCCTCTATTCCCGCCACCATTCGCCTTCCCCCAGCGATCTCAATCGCTGGGGGAGGGTTTAGGGTGGCTTTTAGCCAGAGACTCCCCATGCCAAAGAAGTCGGGATCCGTTCCTAGCGGAGCGGCTGGGTGTCTCCTTCCCTTTCAAGACAGCATCACAGCTAACTGCCACTGCAGTGCCCTCCTCCACGACACACACACACAGCCTCTCTCCTGGACTGGAGCCGGTCATTACTTAATAGCCCTCAGATTTAAGACTTTAAGACCCTGCCCAAAGACTTGCCCCATGATCTTAAGACAAAAGAACTTACTCTTCTCCTACTGGCCGACCTTGCAAGGTCGTTCTGAGGACAAGAGTGGGAAACCTGCTGCCCATCAGATGTTATTAGGACTCCCATCACCGCTGTCCGCAGGCTGTGCTTGCTGGGAGTTGGAGTCCAAAAACATCTGTAGGGTCAGGGATTCACCACCACCCCGTGGTGTGGAGGGAGAGCTTGAACACACACACATCCCAAAAGAACAATGTATACAGTATTGAATATTATCACATGATTAGCATGATCAGGTTTTTTTAAAAAAAAGTTGCACTAAGCCAGTGGGAAGTTGCATGAGCAAGAAAAGACACTGACACAGACACAGAGATTATATTTTCTTAAACTTGCCCTCCTAATCCCTCCATGCACCCAGTTCCAATTTTCCTAGTGTCAAACACACCTGCATTTCTCTCCTGGCAGAGAAGCATATACAAGCAGATGCTTGGGGCAGGGAGATTTGGAAAATTTGGGGGGATTTGCTCTGCAACCACCCCAAATCAGTCACCCCTTCCTACGTCACCCTGTTTGTCTGTCTGAAACAGGGAATGCTCAATGGACTTTTCACCATCAAACTTAGGACTCGTGAAGTCTTGAAAGCATCTCACATACATGCCCTCGGTCATCCTGAAAAGACGCTTCTGTCATAATAAAATTAAGTGTTTACGGTGCCACATAATGTTGCTGTTTCGCTACCCCTCCAGAGCAGGTTAGTATTGCTTACGTTTTATAGTGGAGGTGGGAACCAGAAGCAAAGGAATTTGCCTAAGAGCACCTGAGTGGTTTTGTGGCAGGCAGAGGCATAATTTGAAACTGGGACTTCTTGCGTTGCTGGAGCCCAACCACCTCCCTATAGCAGCTCTCATGTGAACCCTTACCCTCTCCGTCTCCCTGCCCTGGAGGAAAGTGACCAGCTCCCCTTTCAGGCTGCAGTTCCACTTCTCAACTGCATCAAAGGATTCCCTGATAGCTTTCAACCTGTGTGCCCAATGAACAAAACTCACCTTCCTCTTTTGTTCCCATCCCATTTTCCCACAGGCTTTTCAAAAGACTGGCATCTCTGTTTGCTGTATGGAACTATTAACAAGGACACATCCACACATCACCCTCCATCGAGCATAAAATAAAGCATTGCTTATTAAGCCAGAATTAACTGCCCCCCTAGGAGCTAATTAAATTCCTTCTTGGAACCCAGGTTTGGGGAAGGAAGGGGGGGAGCCATTACATTTTAACTCTGTGGCAGCCAGTCTCCACATTATGGCTCCAAATTGAGAAATTGGCTGTTTATATCCAGCTATTGTTTTGATTTATAGATGTCTAGTTAACCTCCGAGTCCGACCTGTGTTATTATTTTTTGTGAACAAGAGTCGGGGGCAGGAGGGCTCTCTACACCCCAATAAATCCATTTGTTTATTCCACTGGTTTTATTTCACATTATGTTTTGATTACAATCAAAAGTATTTTACTTTACCTTGATAATAAAAGTAGTAGTTCTCTTTAGAGTGCTGCAAAATTATAGCATTTACATTTCTGAAAGACTGTAAACAAAATATTACTAGCAAATAATAATACTAGCATTTTAGGTATACCTTGTAAGGGGGTTTCTTTCCTCTCTTCCTTTGAAAGCAAGACAGCTTTATAAAACGCAATTTGATTGAGAAAATGTAATATATAACAATGATAAAGAGAACAGAGGGGAGAATTTTGTGGGCATTTTCTTGGCGACTGTTCAGGGTGGGGGCTCTCCTCCTCCTCTTCCTCCTACCTTGAGGAACTTGTGTCAATAGAGCAGTATTGTTAAACTGAGAGAGTAGCTACTGAAATTGACAAATGAGCCCCAACTTTTAAAAACAGCACATGAAACTATGAGGAAGAACAAGGACTCGAACACTGCTAAAAGGGACTATTTGCACTCTTTGTTTCTGAAGACTGTGCTTTCATTTTCTTCTGTTTCATATTCAGAATCAGAACAGACAAGTGGAAATGGCAACAAATGGCTGCAATTGCATATTTCTGCCCCCTCCCCCTTTCATTTTTTGTTGGTATATGTCTCCTCCTCCTACATCTGGTTAAGATTGTGTTTGTTTCTCATCTAAGGAAAATTAAATTAAATTAAAAACCCCATTTAAACCTTTTTAAAAAACAAAACCTAAAGCCTAAATTAAATTATGTCAATATCCACACTTTTCTGGTTTTTATCTTACAGATTAATTAGTAAAAGTTCAATATACTTTCCGGCATGTAGTTGGGCCACAAATTTACAAGAGCGAAAAACAAGCATCAAAACATCGAGCAGCCTGAAAATTCCACAATCACTCAGAATTACATAGAAATAGTGAAAATCAGGATTTGGCTAGAATAAGTTTGTGTTGATAGTCCTACCCTCCCCATATTTCCTTACTAGTAGCATCACAGCAGGGTTTGCATTGCACCTCTCAACCATGGCACCCATGTATTCAAAAATACTTTTTTTTTAAACTCAGGGAAAGAGTAAAAAATAGAGATATATAATGTTAAAAACAAACCCAAATTGGCTGTAAAAAGGATGTGTGAAGTAGGTACCAAGTAGGAGCTTGCGGGGGCAGTGGGTGGGGTACAATGGTAGCTAATAATATCAGTTAAATTGAGATGTAACATAATTTGGTTTGCAAAATGGGAGAGAGAAAAGAGAAATCATTATTGAAGGAGGATGAATTCAAGCGTCTTCTGTTGTCCGGCTGCGCCATTATAGAGATCTTCAGAGCAATGCACACAAACCTAAGTTAAGGGTTTAACTTCTGCAGTTATGTCGATAGTATCCAGAAGCTTTTTGCTGTCTGAGATTCCTTCTATCCAGCTACAAATTCAGGGATTGGTAAGCAGTGCTGAAAGACTTGCTCCTTCCTCCCTTCCTCAGCCAGTCGGCAAGTTGTTTAAAGAGGGAATACTAGAAATCCAGAGAAGGTTGAATATTTCCAACCCCCCATTAAGTTTCCTCTCTCCAGTTTCAAATAAGCTCTGTCTCCTTTCTCCATCTGGATCAGGACCCCGTTGCTGGCGGCTTCGCGGGTGACATCCTGATCCCCGGCAAAGGCAGAAATCACTGGCCACCCGTTCAGCATCAGGCTCACCTGAAAAGCAAGTGAAAGACAAAGTCCCCATCAATGAAAGGAAAAGGAGGCAGCAGGCAAATTCACAGAAATGGCTGGCAGGGTTTTTTTCCCCAGTTGGAAGCACCTGGTGAAATGAATTCCCCCTACCTCCACTAATTGTTTATTAGAATTTCTTTCTTTCTTTCACAGGATTGCAACAAGTGAACATCAGCAGCCCAATCCCATGCAGGTTTACTCAGAGGTGTCCCACTGTGTTCAGTAGGGCTTACTCCCAAGAAAGTATGCATCAGATTCCAGCCTGAGGCTGCAAAATCTTAGGCGTTCAATGGGACGGGAGCTCAATGGGACTTCCTTCTGAGTAGCATTGCACCGAGATTACAGAGGAAGGGGGGGTGGGTATTAGCCAGAATGTTTCCGATAGCATCCCAGACTATATTGTCATGACAAGCATGGAAGGAAACCTTGCTTCTTCAATGCATGAGGAAATCTTATAGGATAAGCCATGTATATCAGCCAAAGACACAAAGCAAAATGGGTGGATAAATGAAAAGGCTGCAGATCTAAGGACTGGCAGCTGAGTGTTATGATGTCACTCTCCCAAACTTTCTAGGAATGACCTCCAGTTAGCATTGTTCCATTTCCTTCTCTCTCTTTTTTGTAGAAAAGGAAAGGTACCGTCCGTTCTGCTGCCAGATCAGATTAATTGTGCTCCTCCAGATTCAGCAGTAGAGAGTGCTTTTGTTTTTCACCACTGCTGTAATTATCCTCATAACCCCCTCCTTCAAACATTTTTTAGAAATATTACTATATTTAAATGTAAATGCTGCTTGCCTACCCACCCTGGAGAGACCTCAAAGTGCTGTGTGAACAAATAAATATATTACAGCACCACAATCACAATTTTTTCTAAAAAAAATTAAATGTAGATCTGATTATCTAAGGGCAAGTTGCCCGTGAGGAAAAATGGGGCATGGCTCAAAATCTAGGGTGAAACCCTTTCAGATGGATGCTTCTCTCTCTCTCCCCACACCACTCATGAGGGGCTGCTTGTCCTTCAGGAAAACTGGACACACACTCCAGCCCCCCCCCAAAAAAACCTCAGAGACTGAAGAAAGAGATAAAGGCATTCAAGCTCTGGCTAGCATCTCTGAAGTTCATCAAGGGGGGCAGCTTATCCATTTGTGAAGCAGCAAAGATGCTGAATCCCTGACAGAGCCAATCTGCATCCTACAGAGCGGGAGCCTTCTGCCTGCCTAAGCAAGGGAGATAGTGGGTTTTATCCAGCTCCTTCAGATACAACCACAGCAAACAACACAGCCACCAGTAATTAGAGATGGACATAAAAGCATAGATCGATCAGCTGTCCATCTTGGCATTGTGACAGTGACTGATAGCTTTTGAAGCTGATTTAAGAGTGGATCTAAATTTATACAGAATAAAGCATTGCTCAAATTATGGTGGAGGGGGCCCCCTCTCCCCCAACTCTCCTAATTTTTTATCCAGGCCATAATTCGCCACCACCACTCTATGTCTCTTCAGCTGCCTAAAAACAGAAACTGAGAGGTCATCACAAAAGGAAAGTGGGGCAGTCCGCCTTCGTTCCTCCTTAAACAGAGCAGTCGTAGCTGTAGATGTAGAAATCAGCTCGCCACAAAGACTCGGTTAGGGCTTTCTAAAGCAGAAACTGTACATCTAATGAAAAAAAATGCATTTGCACACTTTTACATATACACCGACTCACCTACTCTTCCTAGAACAAACCTACTGGAATTAATGGACCCAAGTGGGTAACTACACAAAATATGATGTGTAGGTTATGTTTTCTGTATGGCACACATATTTTTGGCTAAATGTGTTGGCCTAAAATCCACCAAACTCAAAGAGCTAGGGAAAAACTGCAAAGGATCACCCAAGTCATTCAAAAATAGATTCAGGCATAGATCTTGACCTATAGCTAGAAACATGGACAAATACAGTCTAAATAATAATAATAGAAATGTATTCATGATAAACAGTTTAGGAGAAATGGTTTAGGAGTCCAATCTGATCAATGCACAGTATTCAGGCTGTTGGATACCATATCCTATTTTACTCCACACCAATAAGCCTGTGGACAGGCAATGCCCTTGTTCAGATGACTCATTCAGACCAATCCCCATGATGTTATGAAAGTGGGAGCAGTGTAATATTGGGGAAACATGCAACCAGATAACTCAGTCATGTTGGCCCATGGGAGGGAAGATTCCTTGTTCTGTCAACCTTCATTCAGCTAATAAACCCCCAAACGGATCTGCTGAGACTTCTGAAAGGTCTAAAATGCCCAGCCCATCAGCAGAAAGGCCAATCCCACCCCCCACCTGATAAGGTACCGTACTTCTAGGATAAATAAGATAGAGGCGACTCCCAAGCCACTGGAGAAAGACGGTTTCAATTTCAGCCCTGTGAGCGAGTCCCCATCCTAAATTACTACAGTGAGACTGACAGGTTGTAAAGTAAGGATTATGACATATAAAACTTTATGTAGCATGTGGGCAGCAGTTAGTATTGGGGGAAGAAGCAGGAATGTGGATTTCTGAAGCACAAATGGAATAAAAAAAATCACCCAAGTCACACAACATGACACTTTAAGGAGGGTATTAAACTGAGCAAGGTAGAAAACCATTCTTTATATCTCTATCTAGAAATTTAAATAAGTTGGTCTTCAAAAGTAGTTTTGTTTACTGAACTTGCTTTCATCCCCAACCTCCTTTTTTATTATTAGAATTTGCCCCCCTCCACTGAATGTGACTTAGATGTTTTGCAGGGTTAATACTTTTACATGTTTAGTCTAAATTCAGATGTACAGATTTTCCATATTTTTAAGCCTAATCCTTCAGACGATCACAGACCACAAAGGGAGTGGAATGCAAGGGGGGGGAGCATAATATTAGATCAAAAGAAAGCTATTGGTGTGGGATGATAGGTTTGATCATCCTGCACAAGTTTGTATGGGATGCAGATTCAAATCCCTTCTTAGCCATGAAGCATCCTGGGTGACCTTGGGCCAGCAAACCAACCTCGCAGGGTTGATGTGATAATATTAACAGTGAGGTGGAGGTGGAAGAACCAGGTACACTGCCTTCAGCTGCTGGGAGGGAAGATGGGGCAGAAAATGGAAGAAAAAAACCCCAAACTGTTTTTGAATTGCACTCTTTAAAGCAATCTGATCATTAGGCACATTTATTTGGGATCAAGCCTGCTTTTATTCCATGGGGTTTATTTCCAAGTAAACATGCTCTGGGTTGCATTCTTGGTTGGTAGCATCAATGCCATGAATGGGGAGATGGGAAAACATTCTGATTTGCTCACTTTGATTGTGGCATTCTGGATTTTGTTTGGAAGGCTGGGCCCTGATTATGAAGGGCATTGATGCTCAATGAGATTTTTGTATGCCCGATTACATAGAATCATGTTTTCTCTGTTGTTTGTTGTGGGAGTGCCTCTGGATTTAATTGTTATGCGTGCACGGGGGGGGAGGGGAGGGATTTGCCCCTTCCTTGTCCTACTTCATTTCGTTCTGAATTTTAAAGACACAATAAAGTTATTTGGAAGATGGGGAGGGCTATAGCATCCGCTTTGCAAGCAGAAGGTCCAGGTTCCTTAGGTAAGGATGGAAAAGACCCCCTCCCCATATCAAATCCTGCAGATCTACTGCTAGTCTGGGTAGCTAAATAGACACATGGGTCTGTACAAAATCCAGTATTAAAAGTTTGATCAGGAGGCCTTGATCCTCTGCATGTTGTTCCCAAGTAAGCCCTGCTAAGTTCCGTGGAACTTATCCCACCTTAAATGCATGCAGCAGTTGGAGTAAGACACGGGCATATACACAAAGATGCTCACACAATCTTGCATGCCACAAAGGGCAAGTGTCTCAAGCAAAACCAGCATTCTCTGACCTGGATGGTTTGCCTGTTGTACACTTTGACTACGTGAAAATTAAAGCCGTAGATCCCCTTTCGGGGCGCGATGAAAGTGCTCCGCTCAGAGTCAAAGTTCAGTCCGATATTCACTAGTACCTACAAGGGAAAGGCAGAGCAGAGTGAGAAATCAGGGAGAAAGATTGAAAACGCCAGCGGCTGGATGGATTCCCCGGAAACGTGGCCATCTGTCGCCGGCCCAGATTAAGTTTTTTTCCTTTAAAGAGAGACGGATGGAGGCACTCCAGAGTGAGAAACACACCCGTCCCTCTCCCTGGAACCTAGACCGCGAACCACATCTGGAGACGCCACGCGGTCCCTCCTCGCCTGCGGATTTCTTACTAGATCATGGAGCCAGCCCAGCCAGTAACAGCTCTTACCCCACCCCACGATTACGCGCACTCCCCTCCACTAAAGTTTCCACGGGCAATTCGAAATCTCTTCGGGGAACATCTAAAGACGGTGGCTTACAACCGTCTATGCACCCGGGATTGATCTGCGGACGGCTCAGAGGGTATTTTCTTGGGTGGGGGGAATGGAAAGAGGGGCAATTGCTCCAAAGCCAGCGCCCCTTCCCTCTACCACACCCACTCATGCCCTCCACGCAGTCACCCCGAGAACACCCCCTTTCACGCTCCCTTATCAGCAAAGAGCAAAACCCTACCGACGCCCTCCGATTTCCTGCGGGGTCTCTCACCTGGTCGAAGTAAATGATCATGGTCCTGTTGCTCATCTCCGACGGCTCGTGGTTGGTGCTGCGGATGGCCGAAAAGGCCACCTTGGCGCTGCCCGAGCGCACCGAGATGCCCAGCGCCGTGCCCGTCGGGTCCGAGGCCGGGTTGGAGTCGCACACCACCAGGCACTTGCCCTCCAGGATGATGGGCTCCGTCTCGTTCTGCCCCATCGCCACCCCGGCCAGCCAAGCCAAGCCCAGCAGCTCCAGCGCCAGCATCGCGCCGCCGCGTCCCAGGCGGGTCCGCCTGCCGCTTCGTCTCGCCCACCTCCTCCGATCCCCCCAGCAGGGACAACGCTGCTAGGCGGCCAGCAGATCCAGCTTCCCCGAAGGGGCGGACGGACCGGCGGCTCCTTAGCCTGATCCTCCCTCCTCCTTCCTCTTCTTTTCCCCAGCCGCCTCGGGCTTCTCTCGAGCCTTCCCGAGAGCCCGGCTGCTCCCTAAGCCGGCCGCCTGGCTCTATTCCTCGCAAGCCCCTCGACGTGCTGGAAGAAGCAGCGGCGGCGGCGGCGGCGGCAGCTGCGGCATCGGCAGCCCCTGGCAAGGCTCAGGAGCGCTCGAATGCATAGCGCAAGGAGGGGAGGGGGAGAAGAAGGCGCGCGCGCCGCAGCCCAGCCCCAGCGCCGCCCGCCTGCTCGCTCTCTTCCTCGCTCGCAGTGGCCAAGGCAAGCTCCCCGCCGCCGCCGCTGCCGTCGCCGAAGCACACAAAAGGCGCCGCCGCGCCGCGCTCCCACCCCACCAACCCGAGCCTGGCGTCAGCGCCGGCCACTCCCAGCGCTGGCGCCGCCCGCGGCCAATGGCAGGCGGGCGCGCTCGCCGCCAGCCAATGGGTGCCCGGTCCGTCTCTTTCAGCACCCCCCCTCCTCCCCGAAGGCGGAGGCTTTCGGGTGATTAGGTGGTCAGGAGCAGGTGGAGAGAAGGAGCGAGAGATGGCGAGCGCGGCGGATGGTGGTGGGGACGGACGGCGCCCGCGCTTGGGCAAAGTCTGGCGGGGAAAGAGGGGGGTCCGCTGCCTCTCGCTCAGGGGCCGCACAGGTAAGGAGAGCACGGAGGGAGCCGCGTGGACAGGGCATAGGGACCCAGGAAAGGGCGCCCTCCGTGTCCTTGCGCGCTTTTCGACGGGGCGGCGCTCCTGGCGCAGGGGCGCACGAACTCCGGGTGCTCTGGCAGAGAGAGAGGGGGTGAGGGTGGGGGGAAATGAGGTTTCTTGCAGCCTCTACGTGGGAGAGAACGACCGTGCCCCGTCGGAGAGGGTCTTTAGCAGGCGGGGAAGCTCCATCCTATGGGGTAGCTTCAGCTGGTCAGGCGCAGGAAGAGGAGGAATAGGTGGGTTCTCGGGTGGGCGTGGAAGTCCGTGGGATGACGGGGGCAGGACAGCACGTGCTCAGGGCCAGAGCTTTAGAAGCCCCACTTACCGCGAAGGTGATGGTGCCACCTCCCTTATATAATCTGAAATAAAACCGTGAAATAAAATAGTATTTTTGTTAACCTACGTTAGTAGGACCCCCTCTGCTTTCAGTGGGGGCAAGTAATCAAAAGGGAAAAGAACAATAGGGGTGAAAGTGTGGAGTGGAGTGGAAGGAAGTCTAACAAAGTTCTGATTTTTCCCATGATGGATTGGATCCTTTAAAAAAAAAAAAAAGTCAAATGTCAAACTCTTTTCGTCTTTAAAATCTCTTTTGGTGGCTTTGATTTACAGGTGCGTAGCCTGCCTATTGGGTAATCCAGCACTGCATGTGTTGGTGCTCAGGAGGAGGCTGGGTGCTTGGGAGGGCAAAAAGTGAGACAGACAGATGGCTGCAGTGATCTCCCTAAAAGGAGAGATCCTGCCCAGCATAAAGACCAGGGGGTTGGCTAGGATTACCAGCCAGTGAGGTAAAAGAACACTGTACATGCTCAGAGGCGCTGTCTTAACTTTGCCTGTCCCAGGACTGCACCCTAGAGAGTGCTAAAGGGGAACTCTGATGTGTCCAGGCTCAAATGAAGCACCACATCATAGATCTGAACAGGCCAATTTTCTTCATTGGTGGTTTTGAGGACCAGACAAGATTGGGGTGGACATGTGTGACAGCAAGGAGGTGCAAGTATAGCGTGTAGGTTTGTCAGGGATGGGACAGAAAGCAAAGACGGAGAAATGGGTGGATATTGGGGTTTGTATGTCATTGACACAAGCTCTTGAAAGGCTCCTAGGAATCACATCAGTGTGTCATGTCATTGAAGGATATTACCCAAGTGCAGTGTGGGTAAGGAGGAAGTAGGGAAGAGCTCATTGAATGTGCTCTTTGGGCACATTTTAAGTAATTGAACAATGCTGGACTACAACTCCCATCATCCTTCACCATTGACCATGCTTGCTGCAGCTGATGGGAGTTGCACTCCAGCAGCATCCAGAGGGCCACAGGTTCCCTATTGCTGGTGTAGGGACTGGTTCACACATGCAAGTATGCCACACCCCCGACATCAAATGATGAAGGGGTGTGTGGAACGGCCTTCAGCGCATGCAGTATAATGTGGGAGACAAATATTTGCAAGTCCAGTTTTGTTGATATCTCAACACATAAACTGGGTGATGTATTGTGGGATTGGTTTCATTTTATGCAGTCAGCTGACATGGACAATATGCTGGTGGCTAGACACTCAACCATGTGGCCTCTTGTCCCTCTTGGCTTATTACTTGTACAGTAGTAGGGATTTGACTGGTTGGGTCTAGACTGCATGGCCAAACTTGGCCATCCAGCTGTTTTGGGACTACAATTCCCATCATCCCTGACCACTGTTCCTGTTAGCTAGGGATGATGGGAGTTGTAGTCCCAAAACAGCTGGAGGGCCAAGTTTGGCCATGCCTGGTCTAGAGTGTGGTTAACACTACATTCTGTAACCTTGAAAGAGGTGGTAATGTGACCACTGCTAAAGAAACCAGCCCTGGACTCCTTGGACTGGAATAAGTACCAACCAGTTGCAAATATCATCTCTGGGGAGAAGGTGATGGAGAGAGTTGTGGTGGGGCAGCTGCTCGCATTCTTGGATGGCATGGATTATTTAGATCCACTGAGTCCATGGTCACCCTGTCAGATTACCTTTGCAGAGAGCCGGGATAGGGGAATGTGACCTTGCTCTGCTTCTCTCTCTCTTGGCAACTTTTGATACCATTGACCATGATGCCCACCTGGACTAGCTCTGTGGAATGGGAATTGAGGTCACTGTGTTACAGCTGTTCCTGTCCTACCTATGGAGTCCAGAGAGTGGCACAGGGAAAGTGATTTTCAGCCCCCCAGTAGTTGCACTACGGGGTGCCAGGGCACTATTCTATGCCCATTGCTATTTATTATCTACATGAAACTGGGATAGGTTATTAAGCGTTTTGGGGCAAGGTGCCATCATTACGCTGATGACACTCAACCCTATTTCTCCAAAATATCTGGATCAAGAGAGGCTGAGCAGGCCCTGGACTGGTGCCTAGATGCAGTGGTGGGATGGAAGAGGGAAAATAAGCTGAGCTTGAATTCTGGCAAAATAGATGCACTGTGGGCAAGTAGGTCCCATGTCCAAGAAATAAGTCACTGGATGGAGTTGCACAGTTTGTGTGGGCTTTTGGACCTGGCTCAGTAACCAGGGAACCACGTAGCCTTAGTGGCTAGGAGCCCCTTATACAAACTCCTGTTCCTGGACTGGGAGAGCTTGACCACAAGGCTGGATTACTGCAGTGCAATTCATCTGGGGCTTCCCTTGTGCTTAATTCAGATGCTGCAGCTAGTGAATAATGCCACAGCACAGCTTCTAGCTGGGGTAAGACCCTGTCAGTATATATGCTTCTGCTCAGAGATCTGCACAAGTTGTTCATTTGCTACCACACCAAGTTCAAGGTGTTGCGAATAGTATGTAAACAGCTTGGGACCAGTTCAGTTGCAAGATTACTTGACTCTGTGTTTGCCCACCCAACTGCTTTGATCTGCAGAAGTGGCACAGTTACAGGTGGCGCATAATACTTGTTCTGCAGTTGTAAGAAACTTATATTTTAGTGTGGCAGCACCTAAACTTTGGAACTCCCTACTTATTGACACCAGGCAGGCTCCTTTACATGCATATTTAGACATGTAGAAGTTACATGCATTTTAATTTTAATTACCTTGTCTTGAACCGTTTTTTGGTAACCTGTTTAGAAGTTTTCTTACAACCAAGTGGTATATAAATTTTGTTTTTTAAAAAATGCAGCAATGACAATCTGCAGGACCAGTTCAGTTTATCACTTGATGTAATTGAGCCAGACCATTTATGCCCAGGTGTGTGTGTGTGATGAATTGTGGTCTAAATTCATGCCTACTGCAACGTTGTGGGAGTTCAGAAGACTTTCACTGGAAATCAGTTACGTATTCCACAGCAGGAAGGATCTTTTGAGTCCTGCACACACACATGAACACACCTTTTCCCCCTTATCCATTTAATGTACAAAAATTACAGGTGTTGGTTTGGTAGGGTAAAATAAAATAAAATCCAAAAGTTATATGAGGGTTATACTTTATTGCCGTCCTGTAATAATTTTATTGGAACCAAGTGATAAAAGTTGTAAAAACAATGAGCAGGGTTTCAGGTTCCTCAGAATGCTTCTTCCATTTAAAAGTTAGAACTAAGCCACAATGACAAAAGGGGCGGAGAGATGAAAGGCTCAGCTTGGTGGAAAGTCCATAATCTGCAATTCATAACACTTTATAAATAAAACCTTTTTATTATTAAAACAGATAACAATATAGATTGCAAAAACAAATAAATTATATATTAATAAGCATAATATATTTAGGTTTATTAAGATTATGTTTTGCCTCCTGCTAAAGAGTCCAGAAGCAATATACAATACATTAATTCTCCAATACAGTGTCATCTTCTCATTATGCAGGCTTAATTAAGTTGAATCAAGCCGGGTGCAAAACAGACTCCAGGTTGCTGCAAGAGCTCCCGGGTCAAGGAAGCAACATCTGTACACTCTTTAAAAATATGAAAGCTCACAGTTATTTGGGTCTGTGTTTAGCAGCCCTTCCAGGCATCCTTTTTATTATTCATTATGACTTGAACTTGTCGTGCTATTGGGGTAGTCATATGTAATGGTGTTTTCACTACTGTGTGCACCTGCAAAAGCTTTGGGGTAGTCTCACTCCTTTATTTCTAAGTAGTGCACACCCTGAACCTTCCTGCTGAAATCCTGCAACTTTCATACCACCGTTGTCCTGCTTTTGCTGTGCTATAGACCCTCCAGAAAGCAATAATGTGGTAGCACTGGGGAATCGGAACAGCCAATAAAGCAGAATAAATTCACCAGTAATGCACTACTGATGCGTCAATAACATGTTGCAAAAATACATCTAGGCAAAATCACCCCACGTATTGCAGGTGGAGATATGTGGCCATCTAATGAGGTCTGGGACACTGGGATAGATCAGTCAGCAGAACATGTGACTCTTTATCTCAGGGCTGTGGGTTTGAGTCCCACATTGGGTGAAAGATACCTGCATTGCAGGGGGTTGGACTAGATGACCCTTGTGGTCCCTTCCAACTCTACAATTCCATGATTCTACAATGTGATTTTGCCCAGATGTATTTTTGCAAGCCAATTTTCCATAATATACTGCATTTTTGCATGCTATTTTCACAAATATAGGCATTTATATACATATACACTTTACCATTGCGTATCCATTTTTCTACATAGTACTTGATTAGTGAACTGCATTGCAAAATTGAGAGAAGCATGACTTTCAAAGGACGTCTGTGTTTCAGCACATCTGTTGTTTCAGAAAGCACAAATTAGCTTTGCCTTTTAATGTGAAGTGTATTAAATTTCTACCCTGTCCCTCAGTAGAACTTAGGTGGCCCAGCTAAGCATGTGTGTATAGGGTTGCATTTTGAGACCTCGGTCATAACTAAATTTTGCTGAATCATGTCCAGAGTATCATGGAAGAGTTTCCTCAGGTGAGATGCTTTGAAAAAGTACCAGGCGTTCCTTGGACTTAAGACATTTTTGCTGGTGGTAAAGTTGGATCTTTATTTGCTGGTTTCATGTTATTAGGCATTAAGTGTTCCCCTCTTAATTTTGAGTGCTGCTCAGACTGGAACATATTTGTAGTCAGGACTGCATAAGCTCAAAAATTGCTTTCTATAGATAGGTTATTGCCAGCATTGATTTTGAACTGGGTGGCACAAAATTGCAACCTGGTGTCGCAAACAAAAATAGATTCACTGTTCTATTGGAATTAAACTGTCAGGCGAGTGTAACCTTTTCACCATCTGACAGTCGCAGAGACTCTGGTTTTCCAACTGCAAAAGATTTTTTAAAAAAACAAAACCCTTTTTTATATATACACAATTCAGCAAAGACATTATAACTGAGATTTAATGATAACGGCCAAAACTAAATTGTTTTAGTTTATGAATGAAGCCACATTTCTTAACAGAGACTTGACATGCACTGTGTCACTTATCTAATTCAGTATGCCTGTTTGTGACCATGTGGCCATTGATGTAAATAAAGATATCCTGGGTCTGAGGTTGAGAGGAGAGGTAATCAAAAGAGTTTATATAAAAGCATTCAACCTTTTCAATTCCAGAATCCTCATTTTAGCCAAACCGCAGCCTGGGGCCCTCTTTAAATACTTTCCCACATATGTTGACCTCACCCATTCAGTTCTCCCCCACTTCTTGTCTAAAAAATGTCAAAGAAAAGAAAAAAGCCTACAAGTTAAAGATCTATGGGGAATGGTACTAAATATACACCACCGGAATATAGGGGGCACTAAACTTACCGAAGCCAATACTTATCTGTATATAAAACCAGTCTCTCAGTATGATATGCAGGAGATGCATATCACCTCCACACCAGTTTCTGCTTCTAGATTGGTCCAAGAGGCCTTGTTGTATTGCAGTATTTACGACTGAGCTGTAGACAAGGAAAGCCACAGTCCAACTCCTGTGTCTGTCATGACTTGACCTAAGCAAGCCAACATCTCACCTTAAGCTCCCCATCTGTGATATGAAGATGATATTGGGCCTACTTTACAGGTTTGTTGTTGTTACCAAGCTTTTACAATGGAGTAATAAAATAGAAAGCCTGTGATATGCACCTTGCCGCAAGGAAATTTGTTAGTCCAATATACAACCAATAGTTTCCAAACATTATCAAAATAGAATTCAGTTTGTTTCCTTACCAACAATTGTTTTAGAAATCGTTTAGGAACAGTAACTAATTATGCTTGAGAAATGGCCTCTTCCTAATGAACCAGGTTTTGAATGGTCTTTCCTTGCTTTCAGTACAGACTTTGAAGAGTGTAGTGCAGCAAAAGGGACTTATTGCCTCCTGCTATTGCCGGACTCTGTCTTCCATCATCTTTGACTATTGGCCATGCTTGCTGCGGCTGATGGGAGTTGGAGCCCATCAGCATCCAGGTGGAGGAGGGGGTGGCCCATAGCTTGCATCTCGAAGATGGTGCTAGAATAGATGGCACTAGTAGCTTGTTGGGCTTTTCCAACCTTGCTGATTGCTAGCACTGTCCATGCTTTGAAAACACTCAGCGGTATAGCTAGCTGCTCGGGTGCCTGGTGCCTGGTGCGGGAGCGTGTCCTGCAGCCGGGGGCGGGGCGATCCACCCATGGGGGCAGGGCAAGCCTCTCCGATGCCTGGATCCTCTCCGACACCTCCCCCTCAGCTGTAGGGCGGCTGAGGGAGAGGCAGTAGGCAAACGCAAGTTCCACGCTCCCGTTTCAGGCAGCATGGAACCTGCAGGTGCCTAAGCTACCATGTCACTCCTAAAAAGTTTTGTGAGCCCAGGTGTTGTTGTTTTTTTTAAAAAAACCTCATTTTGTCACACACACCCCAGTGATGACACCCCGGGTGAACCGCACCCCACTTCTTCCACCACTGAAAACACTGAGAGAGTAAGGCTAAGCCATGATGCATGATATGGTAGAGTTGTCAAAAAAAGATCTTTTGGTCTTTTCAACCAGTTGTCAGTAAACTGACTACAGTGGTACCTCAAGTTAAGAACTTAATTAGTTTTGGAGGTCCGTTCTTAACCTGAAACTGTTCTTAACCTGAGGTACCACTTTAGCTAATGGGGCCTCCCGTTGCCGCCTCACTGCCACCACACAATTTCTGTTCTCATCCTGAAGCAAAGTTCTTAACACGAGGTACTATTTCTGGGTTAGCAGAGTCTGTAACCTGAAGTGTCTGTAATCTGAAGTGTCTGTAACCTGAGGTACCACTGTACATTATCATATGTTTGTATGCTGCAACACTTCCAGTCCAAAGTAGGCAAGAGACATATGGCTGCGTATTTCTTTTCCCAAAGGTAGTGGGTTTTTTTGTCTCTGATGGGAAGTGAGATTTTTTCCAGTAGGAAAACCAATGGAAAGGGGAGAGCATTCAGCAGCCTTTCCTCTCTTGCCATACCTCCTCTCAAATCCACAGCCTCCTGATGTTGCCTTTTGTTTTGGTTTTTAAAAGCCTGTCAAAAGCATAGAATTGTACAATGTATCTACTTTGGCCATCTGTCAAGATGGCTTTTTATGAGGTTCTTGGGGAAAGGTGACTATTTGTCATTGTGAAATAAAATGCAATAAAAGCGAACAGGATGTAACTTCCACCCTTTTAAGAAAGGGATACTGTTTGTATTGCACTGGTCACCTTGTTTCCAAAGCAGGCACTGCTCTGCCAGACGTATTCCTGAGTCAAACAAGTAACAGTGCCGCCCTGCTGCTCTCCTCGCAAGGCACTCTTCTTCTTCCATAATTTGAAATGCTCATGGGAGTGCTTTCCTTGTGAGCATTTCCTGTCTAAATGTGAATTGGTTTTCCACTTTAACTTCCAACACAAAATATATTGGAAGTATATTGGGTGTTTTGATACCTTTATGGTAGTTTGTGTAATGTGAATTGTGCCACGGACCCCCTAGGTGGGTTACGTGGACCCACTGGGGTCCACAGACGCCCAAAATGAGAACTACTGCCATAGACAATCATAGTCAGGGTGAATTTCAGTTTAGTCTCTCCCCTCACCTTCTGTTTCCTTGGCACAGACGGCCATGCTTACATCACTTCCTGTGGGCTGTAAGCAGCTCAGCCAAGACATTAGCAGAGTGAATTTACAGATCTGTGTGTATCACTTAATTTATGAAGACAGGGTAATGAAACATTTGATGATGCGCAGTTGAATATATGAACTGACGTCACTGAAGACCACTGCGCTCTTACGTCCTGTATTGGTTGTTCTGGGGTAGTTTATTCACACATGCAGGTTATTACTTGATGCTGCAGTCATCAGATGAGGACCCCAAAGGTAGGATTCACCAATGGAACATTTAGAGATGCTGCGGCCAGCCTGCCACAAAGCAAACGCTTGTGTTTGTGTGTGAGCACCAGCATCTGGAGCCTGTCTTATAGATGATTCACACAAGTGAGCCATTCCTGGGGTAGAAGTCATAAATCTGATAAGGCCACTGCTAATCCAACCTAGAGGTCTGTCTGGAATCTAAATATGGCAATTCGTCAGCCCCGGAGTGTGAGCTAAAATTTATGGTGAGTTGTCATGAGGCACATTTAATTGGACACGAGGAGAAAAAGTGAACATTATACAGAGAAATGCCACTTGTCCATCTATCCCATGGGGCTAATTAGACCTCCTAGCCTCCTGATTTGGCCTGTGGGGGCACTTTGATCAGGCCATGCCCACCTGCCCTGCACCTGAAGTCAGATGAAGATGAGCCTGAAGAGGCTTTGCAGGCATCTGCAAGGTCCTGTACACAACAAAGCACTCTCCAGAGTCTAAGTCAGACCTCTTGTTTGAGTTGGATGGGGCAACTTTATGCAGCGGAGGTTGTTCCATTAGGGCAAATGGGGCACTTCCAACTGCCTTTCTTCTCTTTTAAAACCATTCCAGAAGTTGACCGTCCATTTAGTCTCAGTGTTGCCCCTTATGGAACTCAATGGGGAAGAGATTGGGGGCAAAGCTTGAATTGTTTGGCTCTGCCTGTCATTGGCTCTCTGTCTCCACCTACTGTTGCCCCCCCTGCCTTCCAACCCACCAGTCACAATGAGCACCAGCTATCGCTAAATATTTGCAGGAGTAGGGGAACAATTCTCTGTTATGGGTCACAGTTGCAGCATCGGAATGGAAATCACAGTGTTCACACACTCATCTGCATAAGAATGAGTGTGCGGAGGAGAGAGCTGGAACTTGACTGCCACGTGTTCAGCTGAACCAGTAACCAGAGCCTACATACCTACAGCATGTATGTGTCATGCACCGTCTCCATTTGTTCAGAAACCCTGGATGCATGTATGCTCTGTTTGTAGCCTGAATGATATGAACAGATGTCAGGGTAAGGGCCAGTGGGCAGAGCCCCCCCCCCACTGGTTTCTGTGCTAATGAATGTGGCCGAAATCTTTCATATACAGTGGTACCTCTGGTTGCGAACGGGATCCATTCCGAAGGCCATTTGCATCATGAAA